GGAAGAAGAGACAGAGAGAGACAGAGCCCCGGCGAAAGAAAGAGACTCTCTGGGCGCGAGTTGGGGGGCTTGTTTCTGACTTCAACCCCAAGCAACGCAAAGCAAAGACAGAGAGTGAGAGAACGTCAGAATCTAGCGGAATCTAGCGGCCTCGACAGAACGCAACAACAGCAGCTGGAATTGTAGGTGAGCACTGCTGCTGTGAAGAAGGACTTGGAAAGGGTGAGCGGAGTGCTTGCGCCGCTTCCGGGGCAACGGCCTTGCATTTACGCATTGCTTACTTTGCACCTCGCCCCCCCCCCCCCCCCCCCTTGCAGGACATCGTGGTTGGTGTCGGTGAGGGTGACAAGCCTACAGTGCCTCAACAGCACACGGCAACTTCGGAGTTAACCAGAAATGTTGATTGCCGACGATTTCAGATTCAATCGGCAGTGGTTTGAGCTCCAGCGGAGGCCGTCGAGAAGTCAGCTCTCTTCCATTTCGTGTAAGGCATCATCATCACATCTTGCACTCCTAGCTTGCTTTGGGTTCGTGCTTTGGAACGGGTCACAGAGCCTTGTCACCGCCTGCGACGGTGTGCTCTATGTACCGCCATGAGCTTGCGAGGTTGTCACCGATAGCTGTTTTTGGCACTCCTGCGGCATGAATACAGCACCTTGGCTGCAGTCGCCTGACTCGCCGCTACCGTCAGGGTCGAGCACCTGGACGAGATTGGCAATGCTGTTCTAAGACATCGGAGCATTTCCCTGAAGAAGTGCTTGTGGTCCTGCAGCCTCAGGTCTGCAGACTATCTGCAGATGATGTCTCAGTCGACGGCAGCTTTCTCAGAGACTGCTGGGTTTTTTGGTCTTTTCGCTCTGCTCCCACAACTCGGTCGTCGGTGGAGTGGACACTGTGAGCTGCCAAAGCCTGTGTCAATGTCAAACGTAGGTCAATGTCGTGTACGTTGACTGTGCGCTGATCTACTAACCTGTCCTACACAGGTGACAAGACAGTCAACGCCACGAATGCCAGCAACCTGGAGGAATGTAAGCAGAAATGTGAACAACTTGGCGAGGACGCCCCTGCAAATTGCCGCTTTGCTGCTGCACTTGCTAACCGAAAGGGCTACGTGTGTAGAGCATATCGAACCTTGCCTGCGCGGAAGTGTGACAGCGTAGCTTCTTTCAGGACAACTGCACCGGTGTCGAATACAACCACAAGTCACACAGGCGGGTCGGTTGTACCAGCAAACCTGTGCACGGGAGTCATGAAACTCCTTCCTTCAGCAGGGTTTTGTTGGGACGGATCTCCCTTCCTGCGTTTCAACATTCGATTGCAGCCGTAGACGTGGCCAGCTGTGTCGCAGGTGCGAGCTTTGGACTCGCCCAATTCTGTCGCATCGCAGCTGCTTAACTGGCCATGACTGCCCCGAGGCCTTCGCAACGATTGCATACGTCTGGGAATGCCTTGTAGTCACTTGCAGTGTCCTTGCTGTGCATCTTCCAACCCGGTTCAAAACGCTCCGAGCAACAGTTTACGAGAGCAGTCAGATGCTCGCATTGTTGGCTCTAGTGAATCGCTGCTGTTCGCTGCAGGCAAACTTTTCGTGCCACACAATGCAGTGCAAGGTGCGCAGTTGCCTGCCTGGCCACCACAGCCTTGGGGAGTATATTTTGATCTTCAGTTGCAGTGCGGCTTGCTCGCTGTGATTGAAGCGACCTTGCCGAGCCTATCCGGACTTGATCGATGACATGGGCTGTCTTAGTCTGCACCTGTGAAAAACCTCGAAGCCTTTGTCAATTTGTTGCCGCATGCAATCAACTGTGAACTTCCGGATGCGTAGGCTATCGACCACCCAGTGCGCCTGCAAACCTCCGAGCGCAGCTTCCACGATAGTTTTGGAAGGACCGGGAAGTGTTGAAGCCAGGCAAGCTAGAAAATCTTGACCGGACAACTGCAAAGTTGTGGTCGTGTCTAGGGGCTGCAAAAGCACCAGGGATCGAAATCAAGCAACCTGTGAATGAGGAGTCACCTCGGTAGCTCGGTTTTGCAGGCTTGCAGGTTGCTGGCATCAGGGTTGCACCTGGCTGCCAAGAATCAACAGGCGATCTGGCCTGGAGGTGCTCTCTTCTGTACGCGTGAACGAAGCACTGAAGATATGAGCAGAGTGGGTGTGTCAGAACGGCTTCGCGCCACTTTGACACCTGGGAAGGTAAACTACTGTAGTGAATCCAATGTGGTACAGCGCCAGTACCGCCTTGGTGTTGGCCTCTTTGTGAACCTGTCGGTCTGCAGGAGCATCTCGATCTCAGGCGCGGGCTTCTGTGCAAGATATGTCTGGATGGTGCCCAAGTCGTAACATCACTGCCCCGCTGACCTGTCCGGGCACGACTCGAGATGCCATTCTGCAATGCTGCTCGAAGGTGACACTGTGGTAGCTGGAGCCTCAGGGCCTGAAGACATGGACTTGCGCAGAAGCACGACGGCTTGCTTCGAGCTGAACGGCACTGCACGGTTTGACACAAGGTTGCTTTTTTTCGTTTCAGGAAAATGATGTGGTCAGTCTCAACGCAGCGGCCGACCGTGTAGCAAAGTAGACAAAAGCTCCCTACCAGCACTTTCATTTGCTTGCTACCACTGCCACCACAGGGATGCACGCTGTCGCGAGAGGCCAAACCCCTCTGAACCTGCAGAAAGAAAGAGCCGCAGAAGCAAAGAAAGACAGACAGAAAGAGCATAACCTCTGACTTGTGCCATGTAGAGGAAGAGAACCTTCTGCGTGCGAGAGCGAGAGAGAGAGAGGGAGGTTAGTTCCCGGCCTTGTTTCCTGACCCCGGGGAGACCGCTACCGTCCACAGCACCACCAGCACCGGCCAGCGTGAGCACCCCACTGTCTATAAAAAGACGTTCCCCTACTGACTGTGCTTTCCTCTGACCCTTGGTTCCTCAACCCCGGGGCTTCACGCTGGCAACACGCAAACACCCACCAAACCTGACGACAGTAGGAGCCTCAAGCTGCAAGTTCGGGACCCCCCAAAAAGTGTTTTGACCTGGCAGGTGATGCGCACTGTGGACAGTTGTATTGCTTCGCACTAGGGGGCCCACTTGAGACACCAGTACCGTAGAGGTGGCAAGATGTGACCGTCTACCCTACTTGCTGCCCACCTCACTTATAAGAAGGGACCCAGCCAGGAGCTGCCTCAGGCAAAGAGCAGTAGGCGACCCGGCAACGACCGGGAGCCACGGAACTCCCTTGCAGAGAAAGGTTCAGCACAAGCGAGTTGGCCCAGGCAGAGCGCGGTTAACTAGGGTACAAAGAGGGGGTGTTTATGTTTCGGGGCCCAGGGCCAAAGTCGCAACAAACGGGGCTGAACCTTGCAAGTTTCACAACGACTCCAGACTCGGGCAGAAGGCGTAGCGCGAGAGCGCAGGGTGTAGGGGACTCGATCTCCTGCGCCCAAACGCCGTGCAAGCAAGCAAGCAAGAGGGACTAACGTGCCCCCTCTAACCCGATCCAAGAACGAAGAAGAGAGAGAGAGAGAGAGAGAGAGAGTGCGCATTTAACGGTCGGGGGCGCGACAGCGCGCTGGCACAGGGGGCAACCTCTGTGTCCATAGCCCTGGCGAAAGAAAGAGAGTGCGCATTGCGTGGGGGGGAGTTCCTACGGGGGCGCCCTCTCGGAGCCGGTTGCAAGCAAGCAAGCAAGCAAGCAAGCAAGCAAGCAAGCAAGAGAGAGTGCAAGCAAGCAAGCAAGCAAGCAAGAGACACTGTAACCATTTTGGCTCAAGTGCTGCACCCTTTGCTTGGGGGACTGTTGCCCCCCCTTGCATCGGAGGGGGAGACGCGGGGTTGGCCCACGGGGTGTTCCCCTTGGGAGAGCTTCCGTCGTTTGCCCCAGCAGGGCTTGAGTCACATACTCGCCGCATCTATCTTCAAGTGGCCCCTCCTGTTAGGGCTTCGTGCGCCGCCATTGCTGTACACCAACCTCGTGAAGTTCGCACTACCTCCTCCTCGGATTCCACGCTACTAAGGGGGACTTCAGTGCGCAACGTTCCCCGACAGCTTGTTCGCCCATTACTCCAAGGAGTTTGCTGTGTGCCGCCAGGGTGCGATTCCCTTTGTCCTCATCGGGTCATAAACTCTGTGAAGGTTGTGCAACGGGACACTGTTTCCGCAACACCGAGAAGCATATCTTCACCCTACGCCTCTCTCTCTCTCTCTCTCTCTCTCTCTCTCTCTCTCTCTCTCTCTCTCTGGTGGGGGAGCAACATGTCCGACAAAAGGGGGACAAGCCCTTCTCGCCCAGAAGCCCGTGACGTTGTTCCGAACTCTACACCCCAAGCACGTGGACGAAAGACAAGCCAAGGCACGGTGAGAAGTATCGTCGAGTACGCTGACCTTTACAAGAAGTGAGCCTGGAAGTGAGTGTGGCACTACACGGGGAAAAACCCCCAGCAAATTTCCTCAGGGCGAGATTTACCCTCAATATGAGAGAAAGTCTTAGCTGCTCTGTTTTATGTACTGGCATGCATGCTTCGCTCCATTTGCTCAATTGAGTGCGATTTCTCCTTTAGCTTTCAACACCGCACGGGGGCAACCCCTATTGCGCAACTTTTCCATTATTTTTCGGGCTACCTATTTGCCGTGCCCACACTCTGGGGCTTCAAAGTGCAGCCTAGAACCATGCCTTTCACAATTCAGTGGCCAGTACATGTCCAGATTTTGCCTTGTGCAGTGGCACGTGGGATCTACCCACTCATGGCTTCCCTTCAGGTTTCCTTGTCTTCAGTTGGTTCGGATTGCTGGTCTGAGGACTCGGGGGTTTCTTGTTTGAGACATTTCGGGGGGAGGACGGAGCTACACACTGCACCTTTGTAAACACCACGTGAGGAACAACCCAAAACTGCACTGTGCCCTCCTTTTCTAGTTTACTTGTTTCCTTCCATATTTTTGCTTATTCTTCCCCTGGTTTTGCAAGCTGTCTTTCTTATCCTGAAAGTTGCCTCGGTGGTGCACTGTGTCTCTCCACGCCCCGCCACACCGGTCGGGGGCGCTACAAGCGCGCGGGTGAGAGGGGCAACCCTCGAGCCCGGAGCCCTGGCGAAAGAAAGAAAGACACAGAGAGAGACAGGGAAGGAGAGGGGGAGAGAAGCCGCAAGCAAGCAAGCAAGCAGGAGGGCAAGAGCTGGAGGAAGGGAGGGAGGGAGAGAGGGAGGGTGAGATCAGCAGCAAGTTGCCGGCTAGTTCCTCCTTCCTTTGTGTCGGCGATTTGGACTCGCCAATCCGGCGTCACCACCTAATGCGGCAACAGAAGGCGGCGTCAGCAATTCGGCGTCACCACCCAATGCGGCGTCACGAGACAATTCGGCGTCAGACAATGTGGCGTCACCGTTCGGCGTCACCTAAAGCCATGCGGCTTCAGGAATCGGATTCGGCGTCAGGTCGTTTACCACAATCCCCCAGGCGGCCCCTCTATATGTTGATATAGGCTCTTGACAAAGTGCTAGGGCTAGGAGGCACAAGCGGTTTTGACAAGAGGTCGGCGCTCCAGGCGATAATGATCGTGGTGACGACAGCGGGGCTGCTTACGTGTCCTGGCACGGCTTTCCAGAGTGACAGTGATGAAACCTAGAGCTACGTTGGATAATACTTTCCATTTAGCTTTCGATGATGTTAGTTAATTTGTTTGCCATTCTGCGCCTTGAAGGTATTTGTCCGCAAAGCGAACACTTTTGCGGAGCAGGCATCGCCGGTGAACATCACGATTGGAGAAGCATCGCCACATGCACATCAGCCAAGTTGCAGGCCAAACTTACCGCTGACGATGGCTTTCGGAATTCTTTCTTCGGCAATAGCGCGAGCATCTTAGAAGAGCAAGTCTGATGCAAAGGCAAGCCAGACAATGCATTCGGGTCAGGTCAACTGCGTAGCATGTCAACTGCATAGGTAGCTCTGACACTGAACTATCGACTCACCCTGAGCCATGCAAGGTTGTCCTGACCAAGGTTAGCATTGCAGGTACGAGGATTTTGGTGGGGGCATACCGCGATGGTTTGAATGGGAAGAAGGACCTACTGAGGGACGCTGTCTGCTTGGGGTGATCAGGCCTGTCTCCACATGTTGTTGTGGTATGCAGGACAGCGGGTCAGCGTACGTGTTTCGGCGAGATTTGGATGCACCGCAGCTGCACGCTAGCTTGCTGATGCACATTTGCATGTTCCTTGTTGTATGGGCGTGTGACAGGGTCACTGTCATTTTATGCGATTCCGAACTGAGCGGGTGTTCAAGCTACGCATCAAAAACACGCGGAAAGGCAAGAGGTGAGCTCTTCCAATCCGACTGGTCCAGTGTCCACACGGAGCCAGCACTCCCTCTCTCCCTCTGTTTTGCATTGATGCTGCACATACGAGGCTCACAGGCAGAAGGTACGTGCACGAGGTGGCAGTTGCCACTTCTGAAGTCGCGGCTTCTGAGGTATGGGAGCAGGAAGCGAAGCTGTCTCCAGAGGACTCCCCGTGCGTAAAGCTTTAACAGTGTGTGCCAATTGCTGTTGACCTAATTGACCGGACTCAGTGACATTGCGCAAGAAGACAAGATTGAAGTTGTCGTTTTTTTCATTCGGTTGCATGGCATTACTCCTTATCGTAGAACAGTTCAGGCTTCCAGGTAATTAGATGTCGACTTCTGACATGTCGCGAATTGGAGGATGCTGTGGAGAATGCACGTTTTGGTTCGAGGCCAGGAAAATCAAGAAGCGTTCCAAGCAGCTTATCCGAAACCCTTAAGGATGCTCTCTCGGAAGCAGAGATTCATGCATGCAGGGTCAGCCTTTTCGGAGACCTGGCTGTAATCATGTCGGCCGGGAATGCCGCCAAGAATGTGTCGGCGGCCATCTATCTCTTTCATGTGAAAGGGAGAAGCTGGGCTGGCGACTGAGATGAGCACTTGCAATGGGGGTGTGCAGGGTTGAGGAAACATGACTGATATCTGCACATCTGGTTTGTGGCGGGAGGGGATGGTCGGTGGTGACCGAAGGTCCTGAAGGCCAAGCTGGCCTCTCCCAAAACTGCCGCGCACTCGGAGAATCTCTGTCTAGATATTTGGTTCGTGTCTATGGGTTGCACCTCACATCATTCCCCAAATCTCACATGCCGAGTTGACGAATACCTCCAAATTCGGGTCCAGCCTCAGCCAGAGCGCCGACACCATAATGATTGGCGCTGAAGAGGACCGGCCATGAAGATTTCTCGCGCTCCGTGGTACATGTCCTTTTGCCTGAGGACGACGTCAACGGTAAGGCCAGTGGGGCGGTATATGTATACAGCTTCAACGGGACAAACTGGTCAGAAGCTCGGGCAGACACAGTATTCACAGTGTGTTCTGAGTTGGAAGCTCGGGATTGATAAAGCTTCTTTTGCGAGAAACCTGAGAGAAGTCCAGACTCCAGGCTCCAAGCATCTGACGTGGCCCCAGGCGAACTTCAAACTTGCGCTCGTTGTGGCTCAAGCTGCTACCCTTACCCTTACTTTTTCCGGCCTACGGGTTGCTTCCAGTCCGATGTCGAATTGATTGGATCACCTTGCTTGGAAGACAAGCTTCTCAACGTCGAACCGCAGCAGTTGCAAACACGGCAAAGGTGGCATCCTGTGATGATTTGTGACGAGGATGGTGATCAGTAAATGCTGACGCTGACGATGATGATGCCGCTGCTGATGTCATCTACGCTGCTGCTGCTGCTGATGATGATGATGATGACGACGTTGAGGTTGGGCAGTGTGGCTGTCATATCGTCTTGTGATTGAGTGCGTTCGTTTCCCCTGTTGGATGTCAGCCAGGATGCTCAGTAGCACGTGTCCTATATGCTTCTCCGAATATTCTGGCCTTAAGCCTGGGCTGTGCGCTAGTCGCCCAACTACGCTTGTGAACATTCATTCTATATTAGCCTGCCCACTTTTGTTAACGAGCCCCTTTACCTTGGGATCTACAAGGGTAAACCCCTCGACCGTCAACCTACACTCCAAAGTCCACAAGCCGTCTGAAGAATAAACGCCTTAAAGTCTGAAGTTTTCCCTCGATCCGAATCGAAATCCGGCACCCATCGCATGCGTGAAGTGGTTACTTCACCAGAGTGGCGCACCGAGCAGCAGCAGCGAGCTCGTGATGCATGTGATGCAAGTATTGAGGTCTCAACCCATCAGGCTCGTAGCGAACGACACAGCGGCGGGAGATCACTTCGGCTGCAGCGTGAGCTTGTTGGGTGCTCGGTTGAGTTGCAAGCCCTGCGATGGAGGAAGGCTGATAGAGATGCCTAAAGCCAGATCCCGTTGTCGCAACGCTCTCTCATTAGGTTTGGAATTGTTTGGAGTCTGAGGTCGGAGTCTGGTAAAACTTGCATCGTCGGTGCTTATGGTCATCGTACCAAAGGAAAGCTGAGCGCTCAGATGCCTCTGTGAAGCTGAAGCTTGTGGGGGCTCATGGCAGCTTGACGAAGTCACAGGGGCAGCGGTGCGGCGTACGTCTTCAAGCGGCAAGAGGGGTGCCTTGCCAGAAGAAAGGTTCGGAAGTCATGGCTTGGTCACTGAAGTCCTGGGCGAGACAACGCCAGCCACATGCCTCAAGCCTTTGCACCAAGCCTTTTTCACCACATTCCTACCAGGCCCTCCTGCCAAAAACTCACTCAACGGTGCCGCAGTGACAATCTCACTGCAGTCTTCCTCGAGTCATTGTTTTCTTCAGGGGCTCTGCTGTCCAAGCAAAAATAACCCGGGCGGACTGAACATGCACATGTTGCGGGATGTTGCAGCTGCGGGTACTCACAGGTCTGAGGGCACGTGGACGTGGTGTTGCATTTTGTGGGGAATCTTGAGCGCTGTCAGATCTGTTGGGTGTTGATGCAAGGTCATGTGCAGGCAGCAAGCGATCCATCTGGTTTGCAGTATCTGCCGCCAATAGCACGTAATTACTGGCATCTATGGAAGCAGTGTCGAAGTACAACTGACATGACTTGGAGGCAAGTGTTTCTGTCCTGGCCAAGGCGATGGGTGCAACAGCAGCAGCTGGCCTCTGAGGCACGTAGGGACAAGAATCGGTGGCCCGACAGAAGCTGTCCTCGTGGCACAAACCGTGGGGTCGATCCACAACCGGAGCCTGCCAGAACAGGGTGGCATGCGATTCAGTGCGCCGCATGCTCTGAACTGTAGCATCAAATGCGAGGTAGTTTTGCATCAAGCCGTTGACACATTCACATGCTACAATCTGCCCTTCATTCAGGACCTTGATGCAGACGACGGCTTCGGAAAAAGCGTCAGCACTTCTGATTCCATAGCCTTGCCTGCCAGTTTACAGCGGAGAGGCAGTTGGAGGTGTGCTAATTTGCAACATTTTGTGCTTCAAGATCGTGTGAGGAGACTCGCACGAAGCCGCCTCGTAATTAGGATGCAGCCATCCTACCTGTTCCGATTCCACAAGCGGCACATTTAGAGATACGGCAGGCCGCAATCGGAGCCTTCGGCGACGAGCACGGTGGAGTTGACCGAAGTGGTTCGGCGTTCATCTTCATTTATGCAGGCACTGCGCTGAGTACATTGAGCACTGCGATCTCTGCAGTTCTGTAGTGAGCACCTGTTAGTTGAGACGGCCATGTTTTGTGCAGGCCGCAAGTGGGTGCAGCAGACCAGGCTGGCGCCAGAGCAGGCCACGTGAAGCTAAGCTGCATGTACAGAAGAGCAGAGAGATCGGGACTGGACACGGCAGCTCCTGGGTTGGACTCTGCACCTGTCCTCGCTGAGATAGATTAAGCATGCCAGCCCAGGCACTCGTAGGACACTGAGCAAGCAGGAGAGCCGGAAGAAAGGGCATCGCGATAGTTTTGGCCAACAAGAGACTCCTTGTAACTCCCGCCGGAGTCAGACAGCTTTTGCCTCGATTGAACTAGCCGAAATGACAGCAGGCCAAGGCTGGTGCTGAGTTTGGCAGCGTCGGGAACTCGACCTCCAGCTGTCGCTGCTCATGGGGCGCGAGCAAATTGAACTTCCTGGCGGTGTGTCAACCACGAAAGCCGCTTCAGGTCGCAAGCATATCTGGGCACATGGCAACCTTCTCTACCAGCGCTGAGCAGGCCTCCTCTTTTTCGCGGATCCGATTGGCAAATTGGCAGTCGCGTCCAAGCTGACTCCCGGCGCAGGTGTTTGTTTTCCCGGCGTATCTCACCCAGGCGGGAACTCGGAGCACATGGAGCCTAGCATGCTGACAGCTGGCGAAGGTTATGTGCTTGCAGGTTTGTCCCTCAACACAGCGTTGAGACATGGCTGGAGGACAGGCCTGCTCAGGGTCTTGTGCTGTTTGCCTGTGTAGCACTGCTGGGCTTTTGTCTCGGAAGGTCCACGTATGACTGTGACATCTGAGATGCATCAGTCGTACCTGTTTAGGCTCTTGGAAAGAACCTCGTGCACGAAATCGGGGTCTCCTGCGGGGATCTGCTGATCCTATAGTAACCTAAGCACAGCTTTTGACATGTTTGGACCTTGCATAGTGCCCCGCTTTGAACAATTCGCATTGGCAAACGCCGTAAATGCCTTTTCAAGCTGCCTTCCTCAGCAAAGCTGTTCGTTGTGGACGCGACGCCAATCAGAGATTCATCGCCAGATCATGGCTGTTCAAAGAGTTGCTTGGGCGAGGATCATCGAAGAGCTGTAAACTGAGCAAGGCAGTCGAGTACAGGTTCCGCATCCTGGCGAGTGTTGCAGCCGGGAAATGCGGTCCCCACACCGGTAGCTACGCAAGGCTACGCATAGTCAGCATAGATCGCAGTGGGCGTCTCGCCGCCTCGCTGTCTTTGAATTTGGCCCTTCCTTCAGTGTCGTTGCAGCTGTTTCTCATATGTTTGCGTGTCAAGTGGTCTTTATAACATGGATGGGCTGTGTCGGGAATGCTCCATAGACCTCACATTCGCTTTGGCCGGAGGAAAAGCTTTGCTAGCACGTATCGCGAGCGAGATCGTTGGATGTGCCCATAGTTTCATCTGCCGGCAGCCTGTCAGTTCGCTTCCGAACTTCTCAGCCTGTATGAGCAGAAATCGAAAGGAGAGCCCACGAAAGCCGAATATGCTGCTATATTCTGAAGCAGAAGCATGGATGCAGGTCTTAGTTTGAAGCTGAAATGGCTGCAGGTCTTAGTTTGAAGCTGAAGTGCAGTCTTGCGACGCGGCCAGCGACTGAAGCGCAAACAAACTGCAGCGAGTGCGCATACATATGGGACACAGCATCTCGTCGCCATGCCCATTGATATCAACTGGCTACGTGCTGACAGGCCTGACCCCTGACGAAGTCTTTACAATTTCCTGCCAAACCAACTGCCGTGCATCGGCTTACCACGTCCTCGATCCAAGGAAATTTGTGATCTATTGACATCGAATCAAACATGCCAGGTCCGGTGATCCAAATCGTGTGCGGCAAGCACAACACAAGCGCTTCAAGCCGAATGCAGATACGCCACTCGGCTCCGCACAAGCCGATGTCACAACTCGAGACTCTGATCTCATCGTTTATGTCAATAAGCAACTTCACCTCCCCAAAGCACCCCGCCCGCCCGCCCGCCCACCCACCCACCCCCCCCACACGCCCGCCCACGTCACTTGCTCACCCTGGCCTCGGCGATGTTGTAGAACAGCAGGAAGCCAGCACCGGAAATTGAATCAATCACGAAAAAATCAAAAATGATCAAAATAAAGGCTTAAAGACACAAGCAAAAACAAATAACAGCAAATAAAGTCATGAACAAAACACCTATTAAGGACCAAGTTCGCCAAGTACGTGACAAATTGAGGTTTTGGGCCTGAGGCCTAAGGTTAAAAAGCCTTGATAATCTAATTTTTAAGCAAACCCTCAAATCGACTAATATTTTTTCGTTCTGGGCGTGTGGCCCACCCAGTGTAGTAGCAGTAGTCGTAGTAGTAGCGGAAGTAGTGGTCGTCGTCGTAGTAGTAGTAGGAGGAGCAGCAGCAGCAGTAGTAGTAGTTGTAGGAGGAGGAGTAGGAGTAGGAGTAGGAGTAGGAGCAGGAGTAGGAGGAGCAGTAGTAGTAGCAGCAGCAGCAGCAGGAGAAGTGTACAAGCAGCAGCAGTAGTACCAGCTCTTGTAGTTTTGTTATTGTTTTTGTTGTTGTTGTGGTGGTGGTGGCGGTGGCGGCGGTGGTGGTGGTGTTGTTGGTGGTGGTGGGGTTGTTGTTGGTGGTGGTGGTGGTCCTGGTCCTGGTCCTGGTCCTGGTCCTGGTCCTGGTCCTGGTTCTGGTTCTGGTTCTGGTTCTGGTTCTGGTTGTTGTTGTTGGTTGTTTGAATCGGTTGTGGTTTTGCTTGTTGAAGTTGTTGTTGTTGTTGTTGTCGTTGTTGTTGCTGCTGCTGCTGCTGTGGCTGCCGTTGCTGTTGGGATCGCTGTTGCTGTCGCTGCGGTTGTTGTGGTTCTGAGGTTGTGGCTGTGGTTATGGTGGTTGTGGTCGTTGTTGTTGCTGCTGCTGTGGCTGCTGTTGCGGTCGCGGTCGCTCTCGCTGTGGTTATGGCTATGGCTGTTTTTGTGGATGTTGTCCTTGTCTTTGTCCTTGTGATTGCGCTGGTTGTTGTTGTTGTTGTTGCTGTCGTTGTCGTTGCTATTGTGTTAATCCTCGCCGTCGTCATAGAATGAAGAAGCAGGAACGGGAGCAGAAGGAAGAGGAGGAGGAGGAGGAGGAGGAGGAGCAGTGGAATTCAAAAGACATAGTTGCAGTTGCACCCGCTGATTCTCGAAAAATTGAATTAGGTCTTGCCTTCACATAGCAATCAGGCTCGTGGACGACGTGCTCGAGCTGGACCAGTGCCTCAGAAAGGATAGTACAGAGGAGGACTTTCCTTCCTACAAAATAATAACAATAAAAATAATCATAGTAACAATAGTATGAAGAAGAAGAAGAATAGTTATAGCAATCTTATTAAGAAGAGTAGTAATAAGCATTGAGCCAGGCACAGAGTAGGAGCTCCGACGCCCGAAGAGTTGTCACTGCGGAGCTAAGGTCTTGGCGGGAGAAAACGACTTGCAGCTCGCCAGAGGATTCTGTGTAGGACCGTTGCTCTTGAAGACAGGTATATATACTTCTTCGTGGTTCTGAGCTTGTGTGTGTTCAGATTTCACGGAAGCTTCGGTTAATCCATGTTAACGGCGCCGAGCAGAATTGAGCTTTCCAGGGGCTCGTGGCGTAGGACTGCGACTCGGATGCGGCATGATATTCTTGAACGACGGCACAGCATTCAGAGTCTAACGGACTATCGAAATCAGCCCGTAAACAGTCTGAATTGTCGGGGTGCCTGAGCACAAGTTGAAACCAGGCGGCACGAAAAGAGGTGTAGCCAGGTCTGTTTTTCGTGCTTACATCTTCAACTACAGACTCCCCACCGTGACGACTGCACACTCACCCGGGTGCCTTTAACAAGGAGGTGGGCTTCGCCTAGGCAACAAACACTCCAGGCAAGCTGCACGGGCATCGTGCTGTCAAGCAGCCTGTGGCACACAGCAAAGGTGCAAGGGAGCTACAAACGCAGTTGAACAAGCTGCAGAAGGAGCGCTTGTCACACAGACACACTGTGGTCTCAGTTGACCAGCAGCTTCTTATTCTGCACGGGCGCCTCAAGGATGTGATCGCCGAGAAGAAGAAGCTTAAGCAAGCCTGCGATGCAGAGCTCAAGCAAGCCGGCTTACTTCGAGAACAGCTAAAGGAGCTAGAGTTGCCGGCTCAGCTGCCCACATGAACTGCAGCACATTGCTCAGGAGTAGACAATGTTGCAGCTGTTCTCTCCCGTTCCATTGATCATCTTTCACTATTCTGGACAACCTCAGGCTGCAAGCACTACAGTGTGAGACGAAGCGAGATGCAGCACTTGGCAAGCTTGGCAGCTCGCAAGCAGCAGGCATGAGCCTGCTGTAGGACGTGGTTGCTAGCCCACGTGGACAAATGAGGCAACTTTGTGGATCTATCCGTGCCGACTTCGCAGAGTGAAGTTGACAATGAGGCCCATCAGGGATGCAAACAGTCTGGCGAGCATCAACGCTAAACCCGCTTCATCGTTCATGCGAAATCTGAATCAGCTCTTCCTTATGCCAACTGCTCGCGCGGCAGGTCATCAGCACGTGGCCGTCTGCGTCCCCAGAGGATGCGTTGCTTCTCTGCGTTCCCGGGGGTCAAGAATGATGAAGTACCCTCCCGAGGAGCATCTCAGCCATGATTGTGGGAGGACGTGCGTTTCGAGCTCCTGCTGACGGTTTCCTGCCTGAGTGCCCAATTTTTGAGGGCAAGCAAAATAATTCGCAAGTTCTGGGATAGCGATGGGAAACTCCTGATCCATGCTGCCCCACGGCCCGAGTCAGTGCAGAAGTTGCATGTCCTGGCAGGAGGCTTCTCAGCCATGAAGATCTACTATGGCGTGAAATGTCTGCAGGGAGACACTACTTATAGCAAGAGCCGGTGTTGCAGCACATCCTGCTTCTTTGTACTTATGGTGGCTTGCAAAGGCATTGGCGGCTATGACCCAGACCGCGGGTGCAAGGTTGCAGGACTGGCATGCCGTTTGTGTGATTGCCTTCCTCAGTTTGGGAAGTGTCAGGAAGCCGGGGGTATTTTCTCGAAGATACAGGCTGGGCAATGCATCCGTATGCAGTTTGCAAGTTGGATATCCTTGCAGTTCTTGCAGGGGTTCTGCTGAGCCAAGCCCTGGTGAGCTATGGACTGGCCTTTCTTCGCGCCCGCTGCTTGACCTGAACCAAGTTTAAAGTGCTAGATCGCCGTGCATCGCTGTGAACCGACATGCTGCCTGAGGTGGGTATCGTGCTGTGCAGCCGCCTTATTTCATGAGGAGACTTGGCCCAAGAACTCCGCTTTACACGTTGGTGAGGTGGGAAGTTACCGTCCAACACTGCTCGACACAAGGAAGGACCTCATGGCTGGAGTTGCTCAGCTCGATGACTTTGACCAGCAGCTGTACAAAGTTACCAAAGGAGAGCAAGGACAGGACCGCAATGTGTTTCCGTCGTTCGTGGAACGTCGCCTCTGCGTGTGGAGCAGGAGATGCCACAGAAGAGGGGGACAAGGTTGGGAGTCAAAGTGTCATGCCTCCAGTCACATCCAGCTATCCGGCAATCCTGATCTCTGGAACACCGCTGCAGCTGAAGCGTTTCAAGCTTGGCCCTTGCAGTATCTGATCGCCACATCGGAGCAGCCGCTGTGCGCTTTCCATGCGACCCTTGGCTCCCAGTGCGACCGGGCCTAGAGCGTGATCGTCAGATATCGTTACTTTCATCAAAGTGACTTGAAGCTCCAGGAAAGAGGTGCTCAATGCGGAAGCGCTTCCCTTGCGCTATGCTGGAGTGTCCACTTGCTTTCGGACCCGGTTTTCAGCACTGTCCCAGGTCCTTGAGGTATCTCCTTGAAGCAAGCACAATCCTGGCTGGAGGACCGAGCTCGGCAAAGCTGGAAGGGAGAATCGAGGAATCTTCCGAGTGCATCAGTTCGAGAAGGTGGAGCAGTTCTGTATCACTGCTGGTGATCCTGAGCTGTCGGGGGAGATGCGACTTGATTTGAGGCAATAGCTTCACCACACAGTCTAACAGTCTAACACACCTGGCACGAGGATTGCGACTGCGACTTACAAGCCCAGGCACTCGGAGATGCTGCGCTGCGCGGAGGAGTTCTACCAAAGTTTGGAGATTCCATATCGACCCTTGGCCACCTTGTGCTGGGCATCTGCGTCATTTGGCCGTAGTGCGCTGTAAGAGTATACTGTTGTGTGCGAGTTCCTCGAGGTGTTGTGAAAGTGGTGTCCGGAGAGCTGAACGATGCCGCTCGGAGCTGAGCAACGTGGACACTCTGCTTATCAGCGCTTTTCTTGCGGGGTCCCAGTAGTGCGATGACTTGGCGAGGCCACCATGAAGTATGACCTGGAGGGATGGTTTGCAGGGCAGGCATGCCGGCATGGGCTGAACGTCAAGCCGTTAAGGGGCCGATGTCATTGCTGCTGGTCTTCAGGGCCAGTACCGCGAGCTTGTCTCCTGCTCGAACTGCACCGACTTCCAGTCGAGAGCCCTTGACATTCGATACCGGCCTGCAGGCTCTCAGGACCCAATTATGAATTTCTTCTGACATACGCCGGACACTCCTGTGCAGATCACCCGCCATGACTTAGTGTTGCAGTCGCAGGACAAGCAGCGTTTGCGCCACGTGCACATGCTCAACTCGACATTGACAGCTTCAGGCAGGTGCTTGTGTTGCATGTTGGAGGCTTGGCCGCACTATGCAGTTGCGCCTGCCTTCGTGGTCTGTGTGTTGTGCATCGGCAATAATTCTGTTTCAATGCGAGGAAGCATTCCAGACACCCGACGGTCGGGCACTCAACAGCAGGGGTGTAGAGTCGAGTTTGTTTGAGCCGCGATGTGGTCGAGCGCGCAAGCAGCAAAACAAGAATCAGGAGAATGCGGTTTGACAGTTTGTGGGGGGCAACTACAGGCACTGTTCAGCGAATAGCTGCCACAAGAGTAGCGGAAATTGCAAGCGTCAATAACAAACATTGTATTTGCCCCCGGTGCTCTGGCCTTGCTTCGCTAAGGTGTTCGGATTCCCAGCGTGCTTGTTCCGTTTACAGGACTCGGATTGGTTGCTGTCAGCGTGAGTGATCAGTGTTGCAGCCATGCATACACGGATGCTTATCAAGCAGATCGCATGCCCTGCAGGAGGCATTGACTTTCTGCCCTTCGTACGCACACCCCGACAAGTCGGCACTGTTCCCAAGACTGGCGTGGAGGAGGATGGACTGTGGGTTCTTTGATCCTTTCAATGCAAGATGTGCAGATTCGCAAGATTGCCAGCTCGGCTAGTGCGCATGTTGTGCATCGTGATGTGCGGCGTGAGATGCATCAAACATGAGTTCCCAGGCGCCGGTGACCGAGGGAGAGCCGAAGCCCAAAAGCCTCAGTCGCATCCAGGAGCATTGCAGCTGCGAGACTGATGCCCTAAGTACATTCGCTGCAGAGGGGATGTTGCGAACGAGCGAGGAGCTTGAAGAAAAGCTCCTGCACAGCCCTTATGCAACGCAGCTGCAAGAGAACACCCCAGCGGTGGGAATTTGCGTTCGGCAAACTTGTGGATGACTTATTGTATTGGAGATGCAACCGAAGGTCACAGGATTTGAAGCTTCGATGGCGGATTTGCATGCAATCAACTCCATACTGGACGAGGACCTGTCCATGCAGCTCGTCAGTGGCATTGTGTTACGAGTTTTAGTTGATGCAATGATCCGGGGCTCGTTCGTGTTTGAAATGCGGTGAGTGAAAATCGCACCCATGTCGCCATGCGAGCCTTGCATGCAGACAAGGTATCCGAATGTTCGACGGTGGATGGAGCACATGCGTTCGTAGCTGGATGGCAGTCAGTTGCTGCAATGACTAGTTCTGAAGTTGGATCAAGCGTAAACTGAAGTCCTTGCCTCGGACGTGTAAAGTCATGAGGGTATCATAAGGGTTTGCCAGCAAGCTTAACGCCTTAACAACAGTTGCAAAGGATACGCGAGGGAAAAATCAATGCCGTCCCCCACGAACAGGTTCACCAGCCAGGAGCTCGCCCTCTTGACCTGAGAGACTTTGCCCTGTGGACCACAGCAGCGAACGCGCATTGCAGCTGGTCCGATTATGGTGACTTTTGAGCAATCGCAATTGAGATCGATCTTATTATAGGCTTCTCTTGGCACTGGAGGTTTCAGGACCTTGAGCTCGACAGCTTCTGGTCGTAGAAGTTTGTCGATCGCAATCGGAAAATGCCGTCAAGTACTGTTCAGCCACGAAGGTAGCGTCGAAGCGGCTTGACCGGCCCCGACGTCGCCGACAACGAGTATTTTTTGGCGAACGATGTTGAAGACGAGTGCGCTGGCCGTGGCGACTGCTGGATCCGGACGACCCCTCTCTAGGACCGGTGCGAACTGTAAGGGCAAGCCAGAGAGTACCTCTGACTCTGCGCGCCTTTCTTGCATTGAAGCATTGCTTATTTCAGGATGAGGGCCGGTTCGGCCTAGCAAAGAGATAGCTCTTAAGCAGCAGGGCGTGAGGAACTGATGCAACCCAAACTCCCCAAGCCATCTGCTCTGAGGTGCAAGCAAGATTGCAGAGATGGCTGCCCGATGCGATGTTTCCCTGGGCAGCTTCTTGTCCATCGAGTTCCAAGCCAAATGCTGCCTTCGAGCCGCTGCCAGATTTAATGCAAGCTAGACTTGCGCTTTGATCTGGGCACCGCAAAGGGTCGAAGCGTTTCGATGCGGAGGGAATGTTCAGGAAAAGATGTGTCTTGAACTAGCAGGCAATAGGTGCAGGCATTGTCACAGCCTCAGGATGCTTTAATTACTGTAGATATTTGGACGCTGGACAGCGACGAAACAACAACAACACCAGGCATTGTCCCTGGGATAGGTACGTATCATGTCACAGCACGCCAGCACTGACATGTCACATGTCGAGCACATGCTGCACTGTCTCGACGTTGCTGCTGGCCACGTTTTTGCCCTCGAGTTTTGCACGGTGGGAAGAGCCTGCAGTTGGCTGAGAAGAGCCTGTATCCGGTCATGACCTCAGCGGCAGCTGATTCGACTGAGAGTGTGAGAGTGTGGGCACAGTGTGACTGTTGTGACAGTGTTGTGTGTGCGCTCTTGTTGTCCGCTTCCATGAGGTTCAGCATGGCTGACGAGGCTGGGCGGATGCACAACCAGCATTTTCCTTTCCTGCCAGCATCGTTTACTCGAGGTAGGTAGCCAGTCTTTCTGCACAACAAAAGGGCTTCAAAAGTGCTTTCTGCGACCTGGGCAGGGGAGCGACATCGAGGAAAGTCAGGGCCAGCGCAAGGCCGAGGCCTTGCGACCACCCTGCATGTACATTATATAATATATATATATATATATTATACACCCTCCTCGCAAGGCCCAGTAAATTCATGGCAACAAAGTGGCGGCGCTGATTGGTTGACGGTTGTGGTCATGGTGGTCGCCGTCTTCTGTTGAAAGAAGAAGTGGGAGCAGCCGCAGCAGCAGGAGTAGAAGTACAAGTAGAAGTAATGTAGGAAGAGGAGGAAGCAGTAATGGAAGTACTAGTATTGGCTGTGGTGATGCGAGTGGTGATAGTAGTAGTAGCAGTAGATCAAGACGTAGATGCAGACGTAGACGAACGCCTGGTAGTAGTCCTAATGGTAGTGCCGGTGTTTTTCGTAAGAGTAGTAGTCTGTAGCAGTGTTACAAGCCGTAGTTATAGACATAGAAGCAGTAGTGGCAGCAGCGTCAAGAGCGAATGCAACAGTAGCAATGAAGAGGGGGAAGTGGGCATGGTAAGGAAAAGCATTCGTGAAAGCCACCCTCAGCCATGCAACATGACGTAAGACCAGAGCTCTGAAATTTATGATGAGCACATGTGACTAGACCCGGCACCTGGTGGCAAGAACAGCTGAAGAAAACACACACTGAACAAGGGCATTGAAGCCGATGCTGCATGAAAGCCCGAAGCAACCACTGAAGTCACTGGAGCCTCGAAGTCAAACTCTGCAGCATGTGAATGGATGCATGATCAGCTTGTGGAGGTGATTCCAGATGCAGTGGATCATTTCTTGGGAAGCTGCATAGCTGCATCGCTGTTTGCGGAAAAGCCCTTTCTGTTGTTCCAGGACAGATCCGCTCTTTGCCCAACTCAGGACTGCTTGACTCGATCAAGTACTGAGCTTATTATGGGTTCAATCAGTGCTTGCTTTGGACGAACCAAAGCGAGATCAACATAACTCAAATCTTGAGGTTTTGAGCGTCAGTACGCTAGCCTGTGCGAAGGTCCAGCAACATTCCCGACATCAACAGGCTCTACGACGCTTAGCTGCCTTAAGCCGGCGTGGTCTGTCACCGAGCTTAGCGGTGAACTAGGCCAGTTGTTAGCACGGAGCCTTGGACGAAATTGTGCCAGCTATTCTCACATGCAGCACTGATGTAGCCGAGGAGACAGATTTCAATCAGCTCACCGAGAAATACTACAACAAGACGAGACTTGCCATAATAAATCGGGATCGCCTGTGTAGATCTTTGCCTGGCCTGACACGTCACTGCAGAGCCTTCCACTCTTTATCGATCAGAGGAAGTGGCCAAGTGCCTATGCCGTCGCAGACGCTCTCGGACATGGGGAGGCTTTGTTCCTGATTCTCTACAAGGACAGGAACTTGCTTCTCCATCCTTTGCCAGCTGTGCTGGCACTTCGACTCCGAAGGAGCTCTACTACCGACATATCTACGCCAGACTGAACCCAGTCCTCTTTGAGGACGGGCCGTTGTGACCTGATCACTTCCCCCGGCTCTACGCGTTCGGCTGCGTTCAGTAGGACAGAATTGGTTCCTGGAAAAATTATACCCAGCTCCTGGATTTGATGATCGAGAACCTCTCGGATGGAGAGGCAAGTGACTGAACTTGGAATGGTCGCTTCGAGCAAGAGCGTGCTGATAAAGCGGCTGCGTTGAACCTCTCGCGATCACAAGTCAACGGGAGGATCTCGGGATTGCGCTTCCGGCGCAATGGCTGTGGGACATCCTGGACGAGTTTGTGTACCACTATCAGACCAGCACTCAGCGAGCTATCCGCGGTCACAGCAGCCACTGTCATGAAAAAGACTGGTGTTGCGTCTCCAGCTGTGTGTGGATGGCAGGACATACAGCACGTACTGCCACAAGGCGGCCAAGCTGCAGAAGGCCAGGTGATGCCGAGACCCAGATTCATGATGATCTTGCACGAAATGCTTAAGAGATGCAGGAAGCAGATGTCAAGCAGCTAGTTGACAACCCTGCTGTTTTCGAGACCACGAAGGCCTGCAGCATGAGACGCCAGCTTCGTTTGCATCAGTCAGTGAGCCATGCTCCTGAAAGGTCCTGAGCTACTTGCACCAGCTTGTGCGCTACTCGTTGATCGAGGAATGGCTCGCCAATCCAGATGGAGGCAACGGACAAGGCGGATGGAAAACTCCAAGCCATGTCGTGTGTGCTGGACGTGCAGCAGTGTCAAGTCGCGGTCGTGGCTCGTTTTCGAAAGCAGGTGCCGCCTTCACAGCTTTGGGCTTACGAGAATGTGGCTGCGCTTGTCACCCTTGCAGTTGGGGTTTGTGCAGCACCCAGGACGAGTCGACACGACTGATCGGATATTTCGCCCTGATGCAGCTGCTGCGAATGCACAGCCTGCTCGGGGACTACCGCCTTGCAATGGACGCTTGGCGGCAATGGTGCCTTTCAGGCAAAAGCAAAGCTGCCAGGAGTGACTTCCGGATTGGGCAGGTTGGGGGGGCTTGTGTAAATTCTGAAAACGGTATTGCACATTAACAAGATCCTTGATGCCATCCTGCCCAGGAGACGATTGAGAACATCGACTTCCGAGCAGAGGCAGGGCTGCAATGCTAGGGCGGAGCCGAGCTAAGCACAGACGCTGCCGCAGCAACTGAAGAAGTGGAACTGGCCCAAGCGGCTCCAGAATCTAATCCTGCAAAGCCTGAGCCACGCTGTGTGTTGTAACAATCCAAAGTGGTAGTTACCAGTGGGATGATGCCGCTGAAGAGCTTCAGCGGAAACGTTCAATGCCTGTCTCCTGCACTGGGAAGTCATGCGGTGCAGTCAACTGAACGTGGAGCATCAAGCTGTACTGTACTTGGACCTGTATCAGGTGCCGCTGTTCTACAGAATTCCGGCTTGCCATGTCACAGTGTTTTACTACATGGGCTTTGCGTGCGCCTGTTTCTGTTGCATTCTGGACCGTGGTGCACTTTTGTACGAGTTGGCATGGAAGTTCATGTTGCCAGGTACATGATGATGCGCCGCTATGTGGATGCATCCCGCACATTCCAAGACATTCTGGTCTTCCTGTCCAAAATCTCCACAGTGAATTCGCTGTCCTACCAGTATGATCAAATGCTGAAGAAGCAGGCGCGTGAACCGCGTTCGCTCTTGCACTAAGTGCGAAGAGCCATGTGCGGTCGTGTCACAGTCAAACCACACCGGTTATAAGTTATCAGGATCAGATGTACGTCCTGCTGCTGATCTGCAATGCTCTTTGCCCCCAGCCGCTGGACGAATCTCTCGAAAAGCCAATCCGAGAAAAGCACGCAGGCGGAAATTCAAGACTTTTTTGCTGTTTCAGAAAGTGCAAGAGTGAATCGAACTGCGCCCTGATGCCCTGCAGATAAGCAGATGCGCTTGCAGCAGGGCAATGAAGCCTGCTTCGAGGAGCCTCGGGAAGAGCAAAGCCGAGACGCTATATCTGCCTTTGTTGACTCAATGGATCGCGCTGTGACCTGAAAACCACAAGGCATTGGCACCAATCTTTCGCAATAGACTCAGCACTGGCATGACTGGGCGAAGAGTGTGTAGTATCTTGACAGAATCGCTGGAGTGCCCAAGCCTTTCGGAAGTCGTCGTTCAGCTTGCCAGCTGCAGCCCTGCCCTGTAGGACTTGTTCTCCTACGCATGTCCCAAGTTCGTGGCGGCCTCCATGCCGGATCTTGAGAGCGATGCCCTTAGACACCATTGTGCACCAGCTAAAATTTCCCTGCGCAGTGGACACCTGAAATGTCGGCTGAGACCTGGAGAACTTTACAGCAAACGAAGCACACCAGCGGCAGCTGACTCTTTTCCTACAAGAGGCAAGGCTGCGACAAGCAGTGTGTTGCAGACTGTTAAGCACCGTGAACAAGTGTTTGGTTGCTGCGGTCGTGCAGAAGACGCTGCTGTATGCCCGGTGCAGCAACATGGAATGGGAGGTGAGGCAGCAGCAAGCCCTCCCAACGATTGGCTCTTACATGAAGCTCTACACGTCTTTGCAGACCTCCAAGTGCGTACCCGAGACCCGAGAACGCTCGCCCTCACTCGGCCGGCCACGTTCACCACATGGCCTTAGCTTAGGCTGGCCCAGCTGTGCGAGATGGACGGAGAGGGTCTCCGTGACCAGCTGATGTGCGCCGGAAGCCCCAGAGTCTCCCAAGGAGGTTTGGGCAAGCCGCAACCCGTCGTTTTTGTTTGGGAATCCCTTAGGTCATGCACAAGACTCGACAGCTGGTGCATCAGAGAGTTGGCACGCCGCTGGACGGTGCCACCGCCTCAGTTTCACGATGTACATGACCTTCAATGATTCAATCACCCGATCTCGAGCAGGTCTGGTAGCATGAAAAGGCATAAACTATCGGAGTCAGCGGAGTCAGCAACCACTAGTGAAGGAGCTAAACCCCTGTGGCGAAGTGGAGTTCTACCTGGACGGAGACATGGTTTGAAGCCCAGACCTGCTTACATCAGCAGGAACGCCTACTCATGCTAGTTGGTATGGCCTGTGAGGTGCACATCAACGCGCAGAAGCCGCAGCGACCACACGCCGATGTTTTCCTGGAGCACATCCGGAAGTTTCAGGCACGAACAGTGGCCGCACATTGTCCGACATGTGTGACTATAAGAAAGAAACTGTAACTACCTCAAGCATTTGTTTGACGCCGTCATCGGCTCAATCGCCTGTTCAGGACATCCTGAAGCGAGCAGACAAGATTGAGAAGCCATCGAACTGAGTTGCTGTGCGGCGCGGATCGCAGAATCTGACCTGACCCACCGTGCCCAACGGAATACTTCGCAACAAATAGTCGGACACCTTCATCAGCAACTTTGAACATGAAGCAAGTTCAACAAAGAGGAGCACATAGCAGAGTAGCAGACGGAAAGCCTGCTACTGCTCCAGTCTTTGGCAAGACATGGCAGACAGTGCATTGCAAATCTACAAGACTTCAACCAAGCAGCGCCCACTGCGTCCGCAGCCTCAAGGGGATGAGCTAAAGGCTATATGCAGGTGAGATCCAGAAGGGCATCTCGGTGAAACATTTGTATCCCGCTGGTGGGTACGTAGCTGTAGGCTGCGGACGGGAGGATGCGCTGCATCGGATGGAGCTAGGATTCTGCAGGTGCCAAAGAGAAAAAGGCTTGTTTGACAAGAGAGTTGACCTTCCAGCTGTCTGCCATGACATTGCATCTGCTCGCCCAACCCACCACCCGCTGGATTCAACGGGGACTTACATGTCTTCTGGCACAGTTCCAAGGCTCATAGGATTTTTCTCATGGATGATCGACGGCAGAGCCAATACCAAAATACCAAGCGAAGAATCCCTGCTAGGACAGCTCGTGAACAGGCAGTAAGCGTCAGGACAGTTATTGCAATCGAAGGTGTCCTCTTAAGCCCCGACTTGGCGGACTGTCGTATCCGAAGCTGATACTCTCCGATAACGTAGGCGAAGAAACACTGCCTTTAGCGTGCTGATGTGATTCTCCAGCACCTGGCCGAGACATTCCAGCTGCGAGGTGCCGCGCCCAGCATAGACTTGCTTGACACGTTCTCTGGCGGTCTAGCAGAGGTGAAGAAACTGCTCATCGACTACAGGTCATGTAGCATACCCAGCTAGTCACTCAAAGCAAAGATTTCGTTCTGTTCACAGACAGTGTGTAAGCTGGCACATCGTTTAATTGTGGGTATAGATGCCAACAGGAGAGCTTCGCAAAGCAGCGTCTTTGCGGGGCCTTCGTAGCTCACGGGTTGGTTGGCGTACGAGCCGGAGCGGTCGAGACAGTGTTGGCTTACGGCGTCGGTCTGTAGGGATGTCTGTTCAGAGGCGGATTGGGCTTCAAAAGCTTTCCCAAACCATTTCGAACTACTCGTGTATTTGTCGCAAGTTATTCACAGCGCGAGTCTGTTTATTCAGGGGTTTCTATTTGGAAGTTGATTGAGCTTGAATCGATGTCCAAAGCTATTCCTAGATTATTCTCCGAGCCATCTGCTACATGTATCCGAACCCCACCCTTTGCACCCCGACACCACCGACACCGCAAGCACCATAAAAACTGCTAAAAGCAAGAACACCCCCACTCCACCCCACTCCTCGCAAACACCTTACTCGCAGCACCGACCCCCTTTTCGACATGGCAAAACCGGTTTCTGGAAGAACCGGTTTACGGCGCAGTGAACCGGATTTTGTGAAAACCGGTTCGGAATGGTAAAGGAATAGCAAGCATGAGGACATGAGCCACTCCGGAAGTCTCATCAGACAAACTCGGGGGAGCGTGGTTGCAAACGCTGTTTGCAACCACTCTCCGGCTATTTTCCATCATTGAGCGGCTCTTTGTTTGCCTGCTCGCTTGGGCCATTTTGGACTGAGTCTAGACGGCCAGAAAGCCGTTCTGCGATGCAAAGTAGCCGCAGAGTGGTTGCAACCAGCGTTTGCAACCACACTGCCGAGTCTGGCTGATGAGATTTCCGGAGCGGTTCATGGCTGTCGCGCTTGCTATTCATAGACCGGTTTTCGCAAAAACCAGTTCGCTGCGCCGTATGCCGGTTCTCCGAATTGTCGGTTTTGGCACTCGAGGCCCTTTCGGGCCCTTCAAACTTTGAAGTGCCTGAGGCGGGCTTCGTCATCTCGTGTCCGCGCTGGTGTCGAGTTGAGGCTTGCGCCAGCACCACCACCGCCGCCGCTCGCCCATAGCCCAACCCCCAGCCGAGTCCCTGCTGCCGCCGCCCCGAGCCCACGCCACCCCCACCTTCCAGTGCCTTGGAATGCCTGCCCAACATGCTTTTGGAATAGTTTATGGGCAAAGTTGCCCCGCAACAGGGAAACAGGCCAACACCAGAAGTAAGTTCGGGCTCTCACAGAAGAGCGGTCCTTAAACAGGGCAACGAAGTCAGACAGATGTGTCTGGCTGTGTTGCTCTGTTTGAGGTTGAGACATTGAGCAGCTTACTGCTTCCCGCCGAAGATCAGAGCAAGAGCTCTTTCATTTCTTCGTGGTTGAGCTTTGCGCAACCACGAGCAGACGACCTCACAAGAACTGCGCTGAGGCAGGAGAAGGAAAAGGGATGAAAAGGGGAGTAACTTCAGCAGCAGCAGGCGAAAGAAGCTCCAAAGGCAAAGCGTTGATTTAAACTGACTTCAAATGGAGCTCGAGAAGATCTAGGCCTCCCATCGGGAGAAGGAGCGCGCAGGTCCATTGGCTGCAGAGTCACACAGCACATGAGACTTACGACTTCGAAGAGCACCTGCTTGCCGCCCGGGCTTGAAACCGCACTGGGCGAAAATTGAAACCATGAAGACGCCGCCTCTGACGAAGCGAAGGAACTTGTTACTTACATTTAGGGCCCTGCGACCTTTCGAAGCCTCCTCAAAGCCTGCCACATCGGTTCTACTTTCGTGAACGGCGCAGAGATCTGCCCGAGCTTCTCGAAATGCTCATTCGAGAGATAATCGGAGCAGCGCAAGGCCGTGGAGCTGGAGGTGGCAGAGATTCTGCAGAAGCTGAGACAAACATACGCAAATATTCTCAACATGCGGAGATCCACGCAGCAGTTGAAGACTCACCAAGGGGGCCGCCTACTCGACCCGCATACATTTATGCGTTTGTTCGTTAGCTGATTTTGTTGTGGGGCTGAGCAGCTTGAATAGCTGTTCTCGCGAGCCAGAACTAGCGGAAAAATCGTTAGAGCCATGAGAGTTCAAGCTCGCAGATGTGACTTCGTGTCCTACATGCTCCCTGCCAGGAGGTGCACATGTCAAGCTGCCATTGCCCCATCAACTGTTGCCCGAGTCTCAGTAGCAGCATATTTTAAATTCATCGTTCAGAGTCCTTCTGCGCACGGGCCATGCATAGCAATGGGCATTGAGCCTTTGTTTTTGTATGTCGGTTCCTGTGGAGCTGCAAGGTGCGGATCCAGACGTTCCAGAGAAGAAAGGACTGCATATGCGGCAGTCAAGCTTCCATCGGCGGCCAGCAACGCTAGAGTTCAGTACTGCCATTTGAGCCGATTGTGTTTGTACGGGGACCGCGACAGAAAGTCGTCAATGTTGCAAAGGAGCACCCAAGTTCGCCAAACAGATCGGCTCCTCGGATCTGCAACGCGGTGGAGAGCACCATTTGGAGTAAGAGGTTTCTGTGCCGAGCCTGGTGCTACGGCGTCGGTTCATGGGACTCCTGGCGTTGTGGAGTGGAGTGCCAGGAGACTTTGAGGACACCTTCGTCTTGCATGTGTGTTGCTGATATAGACAGCATTGCCCTTCCCAGCCGCTGGTTGACAAGGTGCCTTCACAGACGATGAGGAGCCCATTGATGATTCGGTGCTGGCAGTTCAGGACGGGACACAGGGGTATCAATCAAGACGGGAGTGGGACCGTGGCACATGTGGGCATGCGTGCGAACTGGACAGTGCTCTTCGCAGGACAAGTGGTACAGGCACATGGGCTGCTCATGTGAATGTTTCTTCTTATGGCACACATCACCTGCCAAAGTTTCACTACCGCATCCGCTTATGCGCAGCCTGCTTGCTGCATATTGAATATTGAAGCATCTAGCTGCTCGCCACTTGCCTGGAGACACAGGCCGCAGGCTGAAAAGCAGCTGCCCGAACCTGACGAGAGGCACATTACTTGCTATAGCGCGGTCTATGTGTCCGTTTCCAGGGCCGTACAGCACAGAACCAGGCTGAGACAGGAAATCGGAAGCTTCACCGTCACCTTCGAGAGCGCAGAAGGACTGCAATCACGGAACCGTGTCCCGACAGCTGGTATTTCTTCGGGAGTCCAATGTTTTAGGGCTTGTTTTTTTTTTTTGTGTGTGTGTGTGTTTTTGTCGGACAGTTTTTTTGTTTGTTCCGGCTTTCTAGCTTTGTGTTCCTGACTGTCCGGCTTCTTGGCTTCACCCAAAGAACCCCCCCAAATAAAAAAAAACAGTTGCTTTCTGGAGCCACTGATTTTGCAGCTGCAGGATACTCTGTCCTTCTTGATCCTGAAGGAAGCCGTAAGGAACCTGATCCAGGCCAGCCTGTCGCTCCGTTCCTCCACTGTTTTACTGTTTTTTCGGGTTCTCCTCGTAAGGTCCAAGCGGTCCAAGACCTGTGGATGCAGATCGTTTGGCTTCTTTGATTTCTCGGCTTCAGCGGGCTGCGCAGGAGGCGCTGACACCTACGACAGAAAGCCTGACTCCCTAAGCCCCTAAACCCTAAACCGGCCCATGCTTGCAAGACCTAATGCGTTGGGCATTGTCAGCACAGCAGGCTACTGGCGATCCTGAGTTGAGCTGTTCCCCTTGGTGCCAGGCCGCCCGAAGAAATACCCGCATTCGGATTCCGACCTTGAGCCTTGGACATGATACTTCTGGGGCCCGACGCGGCCCGAACACTTTTTTTCCAACTCGTCGCCGGAGAACGCAGAAGCCGCATGTACCGCTGACCGACTAAATAGCCAAGGACAGCAGGTGGTTGCTTCTTGATCGTTGCAATCGCGCCTCCAGCTTGGAAATTGGTCTTGGGGGCCTGGAAAGAGATTTGCAGATGAAGACCGATGCAGCCTGCCAAGGCTGTTTATCATGCTGCAGATTCATCCTGAGCCCTCGGCAACTCGGCACTGTGCTTTGTACTGGCATGCTGCAAAGGGGCAGAAGCTTCAGATTGCACATTCCCCAAACCTAAGTGCAAAATGAGTCCACGACGCTGCGGCTGTGCAGCGATGGGGCGTGTTCGCGGTTACCACCTTTTAGCATGCTACGACTGCTCTGGAACGGGTGAAGTCCCTTAGCCCTGGTGTGGTCAGGTTGGTCAGTAGGCATTGGCTTCGTCATGGAAACGAACTCGCGGCTACTTATTCTGGCCATGAGAGAATTGTCATTCTGCGTGCATGTGCTGCAGAGGCTATTGTCACTCCCCAAGGCATCTGTCGTCTTCGCGTATGTCGCTGGATTTGTCCCCGCCTCGATCCTCGATGCCTGAAGCCTCAGGGGTTGGGAAGCCGTCGCAATCGCGAATCAGGCTTTTTGCACGGCTTTGGCCAATGCGCTTTTGCTTCTGGCAGTCCTTCCTGCAGACCGAAAGCCACTTGGCTTGCAAGCAGTTGCTGTGAAGGCGGAGCAGTTTGTGGCTTGGAAGCCTTGTCCAGGCTACAGCGCTGCTTGAGACTGCCACCTGGTTGGATTCAGTCCGTACATGTCCTATCAACGTCTCGACATGACCTGCCGCAAGGATCTTTGGTTGCGTTGCACTTCCATCTGGCGCCCTGGCCAATACTAGTACAGCCACCACAAGCGAAAGTAAAGACGGGCCCCGTGCAGACGTGCGTACGCGACTAGGGTTTTTCTTGGGGAGAGCGAGTCAGGCATCTTCATCACCCACCAGGGGACATCAACCGGCCTGGAGGCGAGAAGCCTCGGATGCGCAGCTTGCCTAAAACAGAAGATCACGGCGTGCAGAGTAAAACGATACTTCAATCTTAGCAATCACAGGTCGGACGGGAGCTTTGTTGACTCTTGTCGGTTCGTGCACAGGGTTGTGCAGACAGATGACCTGTTGCGCTCAGACCTACAAAGATCTACTCTTGCCGTGCTGGGCAGCCTCTGCAACTTGCATTGATAAGCAAAGTGGTCCGTGCGACGGTTTCGGGGCCCTTGTGTAACTGTTACATGGACTGTCTTCCGCGACATTATCTTTGCGACACATGGTATGGCTGCTGCACTAGTGGAATCCACACAGCGCGTCTCAGATGCTAATATGAGGCAGTTGCCGTCAGCGACGTTGCGGCTGGCCTCATCGTCATTTGTCTCCTGCTCGCATGGGCTGCGCACGAGATGTCCTTTAAGCGCTGCGAGCTCTTGCAATACCCTCGATTGTGCGAGCAGCTGCATCCCATGTTGCGCCTGTCGCAGATGTCCGGCTGAGGTTTTGCGTGCTGCATAATAATCGATCAAATATGCTATCCCGGAATCGAGGCCATGAGGCCAGCGACGCAGGCTTTAACATTGAAGCCGTCGGAGATAACGGCATTAAATTGCAGGCTTCTGCAACGGCTGTATGCGGCTGTGGGCTGCGAGCCGACCTCAGCAAGCCAGGAGTTGCGGAAGCAATCCGATTCGTCAGGATCAGCTCTTGTTGGCTTCAGGTGTGGCTAGCAATCGGTGTTTTCAGCTTTGTGGCAAAACACTCCGTCCTTCTCAGCGCTGGCTCCGTGGATGGGTGTCTTGGCCTGCAGAAGAGCATGAACTGTCTCGCGTGTTTGTGTGTGCGTGTGTGTCATCCTCGCCACATGCATTGGCCAGTGTCACAGTTTGCCTTTCGAGGCTGTATGCACATCTGCTTGGAATTGTGGTCGGCGCACTGATTGCTCTACTGGGTGGCATCCTTGCTCACCCGAGGTGGGTGATAGGGCACGGACCTGCAGATATGTGCACGTGAGTGATGGGCAAGAAGTTTGAACAAATCAGCGGAGGGGAGTTCACTGTCTTCCAACTCTAACTCAGCTTTGGGGATCTGGCACATTGTCCGTATCTTGTATCTGTTGATAGTCACGCAGCAGATGTCCATTCCCACGAAGATATTCCCAGCAGGTTTCGTCGAACACAGTCCCCACCCCAGCTTTTCTTCTTTTCTGCAAGGGCTGCTACTCTCTTTTCCTGAAGTGCAGGGGTCACAAGGGTGCACTCATGTAACCCACTAAGCCACTGTGTAATTCTTGGCGTGCAAGGATTTGCTTCTTGAAATCCAGATCGAACACTGTGGGATCTGGGCTGCACGAGCTTCTCGGTGGGCGTGAATTGAGAGAGGCACTCCGCCGCTCTTTCAGTTTCGGTGACCATGGACCGCAAGTTTCCGTTAGGCAAGCTTTGATGTGCAGCATCAGTCATCCGAAGCCACTGAAGCCCTCGCAGAATCTTACCAACGTATAGCAGGTCATTGATGATGGGCAGAGCAATTTCCGCGGCTCGACATACAGCATTGTTCTGCTATCATTCCTGCTTTCTGGCGATGCAACTGTTTCGAAGTCGTTCCTTGATGGCATGTGAAAGCCCTGTCCCAAGGAGCTGTTCCAGCAGACAAGGTATCAAACTGAGTGAAGTTCAGTTAGGCTCCTGTGAGATGCGAGATATGCGACGCGTCATGGCTGGATGCGGCTTGCAGACTCCCTGCCCAGGTGTTGCTTCAACACTTCCTGCTACATCCGGCCCAGCATGAGCTTGGCCACCTCTATTCTCTTTCGGACACTTTGCTTTTGAAGCAGGTAAGGGGGGTGATGCACTTAGAGGGCCATTGAAGCTGAGGAGCCCGCCCAGTTTGGCTTTGTGGATGCATTCATCTCGCCGCATGCTGAACTGGGCGTGGTGCAGGTTAAAGGTCTGCTGATTGTCAGATATGAACTTGACCACCTGCCCTTTATGATGCTCTCTGCCTGAGGCTAAATAAACTAGACCAGAACCCTGTGTGGATCCTCCAAGGTATTCGTGGGCTGACCAAGCCGATTCGCAGTCCCTTGCTGAGATTTCCTGAGCTTTGAAGATGCGGCTTTTGCCTGGCGATTGGCAGTGCAAGCCGCCAGGTGGTATGCAATCCAGCACTGGAGAGATGCTTTCAAGCAGGCCAGACATCGGTCCGATGCTGTTTATGTGGAGAGTGTAGCAGCATGGCGATGGCAGAGGCTCACAAAAGGGAACCATTGCTTTGGATTGACCGATACTGCCTACACTCGACCGAAGCAGAGGTCGGGGGCGACTCCAGATCCGCCCTCGCGCACAAATCTCAGCTCTACTCTCTTGGCCAGGCATCAGCGATGATGCCGGTCTTCATTGCGGGGTGCCAGAACTTTGTGAGCCTGGGCTGCTATGCGTTCTGTATCGTTCTGTCGTACCTAGGGTTCGAGCATGCCTCGCTGTCACTGCTTTGTCCCAGCACTTTTCGCTGCATTCGCTTCAGGAGCCTGGCGGGTTCCAGGTGCCTTGGCTGAAGCAAGGGGGCTCCAAGCAGGCCTTGGAGGAGGAAGAGCGCAACAGTTGATTTGCCCATGCTGACACAGCTCATCTGCGATGCCTCAAAGGTATTTATACTCACTACGAAGTTTGGTGGAGATCTTTGCATTTGGAGAACTTGGCAGGCGCGCGGCGTGCTACCGTGGCACTTGCGTACAGCCTTGCGCTTTAGAATGCGGACAACGCCCAGCTTTCCACAAGGTCGCCGGAAGAGCTCTACGAGATGCTGCTACTTCCAGATACAGAGAGTGTCTTTCCAAAATCGAGATACTATGAGATACTTGTGCTTTCATGATCGGGCTTCTTGGGGTAGTCTTTCGGGACCAGCCTCCGATTTGAGGCCGAGGCCAGATGCACCAACTGATCGATTCTCTGGATGTCTGGAAAGCGTGGCTCAGAAGCGCTGCTGTACTGTAGCACTTTTGCAGAGTCGGAGAGGTGACATAGACGTGATGTTGGTAGACAGTGGTTCAGCCTCTTCGGCATTCGTCGGCCTTGCAATGCAGATCAAGAGCGAACACGCTGTTGCACTTCTGCATGCTTAGGCATGACTCATGCTCAGCCCTGCTGTGTGCACGCGAAGCTGCATCGGGACGGCACGGGCTTCTCGGATGCTACAGTTACGTTGCTATGTTCTGTAGGTCAAAACCGTTTTGTTTTGTCTGGGAGGGTCGCATAGTAGTAGACGGCCAAACGGCACGAGCGACCACTGAAATGGGCCGACAACCGCGGCAATGTGGTAGATTCAGGAGGAGCCACGACTCTGGCATTGACACCCCGATCAGGATGTCAAAAATGAGGCACAGCAGCAGGAGACGGACCTGACCCGACCGAGTTATATTTTATGCTATTGACGTGGGGAAGCTGCCGGAAAACCGTTGGAGGTGTACCTCTTTACCTCCCTTTGCTGGATACTTGTAGCTTCCGAGAGCCACCAGACGAAACAAGCGAAGCTTGATGTCGAATCTCAGGTTCGAAACCAGGATAAAGCGCATCCTCTATGTCGGCTTGGATCATGCACGAGTCCACCGAGGCCCTGTTGCAGGTGCATGAGGATCGATAACTCCGCGATCCCCTCTAGGACGTGCCATCATAGGCTGTTTTGCATATTGCGCAGCTGCCTCTATTGTGAAGCTTCAACGACATCTGTTCTGTAGCCAACGCTTTCGCCTGAACTTATTGAGATTGGGCATGCAGCGCAGGTTTAGACAATTGTTTGGTGCCCACAAGTAGCTTGAGTTGCAGACATTGGCTTGTGGCCCAGTGTCTGGCCAAGCAGCTTGCGCGGTCCAGCTCGGATGAGTAATGAGTACGTCCTCCGTGGATACATTGAGCGCTGAAGCTGCCAGATCCGAGCTGTGATTGGGGAGCCAAAAACCACTTTTGCAAGGTTTTGCAAGTTCTAGCTAGAGCTACCCTGGCCCCGGGCAGTAGTCATCTGGATTCTAATCTCTTCTGTGGATCGTGTTTGCATTGCCACGAGGCCAAGGTGTTTGATCAATTGGCTTGGTTTTCCAGGACGTGTGGACGAGGCAGTCTCTCCAAGGAGCTGTCTTGCACCTCGCGTTACTTTAAAACTTTGCACGCATGCCAATAGCCAATATCAGTAGCAACCAAGCATAGGTCTGGGAGGACCAGGTCAGAGTTAAGTCAGACACATAACAATCAAAACATAACAAAACTACCACACAAGAGCAGATGTCACAGATAACATGCGATGCATGTAATTGTAGACAACACGGGGTGGGATTGCAGCGAGAGATAGAATGGTGTCAGGTGCTAGAGAGCTCAGAAGAATGACGGATCGCAGTATTCGCGAAGCGTGTAGTACTGCAACAGCAGAACCCAAGCAAGAGCTACGGTACCGCAACCTCCCTCGGCAAACACTCCGAGATGTCGCGATACTTTGGTTTGCTGTGAGGACAACTGCAGTAGCAAAGCTTACTGCATGCATGCATACATTATACATGCATGCGTGCTCAGATATATATGTGGGTTTCAGATTCAAGCATGGCACGGTTGACCATGATATGAGTATGTGTTGTCGACAAGGTTCAGGTGATTCGCAACAGTGCATAAGACCGCACAGCCACAGATGCTGGCTTCGAAGAGTGTCGACTACCTACTCTGGCCGTGGACTCCCAGGAATAGGCTCGCTTCCTGTGCGGTGTCGCCCCCCCGGCGCCCAAAGCGGCGGGCCGCCTTGTTTCGGGTTTCTCGCCGAGAAGTCGTGACCAGAACAGGCCGAAAAGTCTTCGTGACTTCATCTTCACATGTGAACCTTGTTGCGGGTCTGATCTTCTCAGCGATTCCTGGAAGTGACTTGACACCGCCAATGCCCACAAGCATCTGACAAAGACAAGAGTGCTTCCAAGCTCATAAGGCTTGAGTGGAAGGTTGACTTTCGGCCACGGAGCTCCGCATGTCACTCTCGTGCTGCTGCCTGTCTGCTTGTTCAAGCTCAAGAGCAGCAAAACAATCGACTCGCACACCTTGCCTCCCATTCGCCATTTCCAGCCAGTCGCTTGGCCGGAGTCTGCAAAGATCCAAACAAAAACTTACTATAGGGGCCTTGATAATTAGAATTGGGTTTTGGGGGCTCCTTATTAATATAATATACCCCCAAACCCTAAAAAACCCCCCCCAAATCGGTGAGGACATGGAGGTCTTGGTCGAGGCGGCGACCCAGGTGCCTCAGGGCTGCTTCGTCAGCGTTCGTCTTGGTGACAACTTGAAGCAGCGCCTTGGCCAAGAGATCACACAAACCACTCGGGTTTAGGGAGTTTAGGGGGCTTAGGGTTATAGGTATCCATAAGGAGGATGCACTGGTAGCCATCTATGCGAGCATGTAACATTCTGTCACAGATATGTGCTTTCGTTCTCTTAGGACTCAGTCTTTTGTAATTGGCGCTTAAGCGTGTAGAGCCTTTGTGCCAGGCGACGCTTCGACAAGAACACCGCCAAGTACCACTTCCCCGTTCCGGAGGAGAAGAAGAAAGCGCGGATCGATGTCTACCAGCTTGTCGGCACCTGCTCGGTGCAGGTGGACCCAGAGCCGTGTCTGCAGCATTAAGTCTGACCACAGAAACACATATACAGCGCAGACCCTGTAGGCACCGATCCAGAATTTCCAAAAGCATCCAACCACATGCGCACTGAATGGTGATGCTCAGGAATGTGGAAGCACAGATGAGGCAGAACTGCTTCAAGTCAGATTGCAGGGACGCCTTAAGTCTGAATCCTGCGCAGGTCAAAGTGATCTCGTCCGATCCCAGAGCAGAAGGCATGAAACTTCGTGTACCCCAGCAGAATGTTGTCTCTTCCATAGGCAAGGTGAGCACAGTATGCACAGACAGATTCAAGATGTCGAGCTTTGGCGGAAGCGAGGTCAGCTCAAACGGCAAGGAGATGAAGGCCGAGGACACACAGAAACAGCGACAAGAGATCGAAGCCGAGACCAAGGCCTGACTGGGCCATCAGATAGTTATCGAGGTCTTCACCACAAGCACGAGCCCTTACAATGGATCAATCGTCGTCATCATCAACAGCACCATCATCATGTTCACCATTGTCAAGATGAAGTTGGCGTTTTGGGTTCGTTCTTTTTGGGTATTTTTTGTTGGTGTGTTCTGTGGATTTTTCTGGTTTTCGCTTGAATGGCTTCAAGCGACGACAACGAAACGCTGCTGCTGCTGCTGCTGCTGCTGCTTCTGCTGATACTACTACTACTACTACT